CTTACAGGTTTCTGTGATATACAAGTGTTCACTACCGTGTCATACTTACCGGTTTCTGTGATATACAAGTACTCACGACCGTGTCATACTTACCGGTTTCTGTAATATACAAGTGTTCACTACCGTGTCATACTTACCGGTTTTTGTGATATACAAGTATCCACGACCGTGTCATATTTACCGGTTTCTGTGATATACAAGTGTTTACTACCGTGTCATACTTACAGGTTTCTGTGATATTCAAGTGTTTACTACCGTGTCATACTTACCGGTTTTTGTGATATACAAGTGTTCACGCCCTTGTCATACTTACCGGTTTCTGTGATATACAAGTGTTTACTACCGTGTCATACTTACAGGTTTCTGTGATATACAGGTGTTCACTACCGTGTCATACTTACAGGTTTCTGTGATATACAAGTGCTCACTAACGTGTCATACTTACCGGTTTCTGTGATATACAAGTGCTCACTACCGTGTCATACTTACCGGTTTCTGTGATATACAACTGTTCACTATCGTGACATACTTACCGGTTTCTGTGATATACAAGTGTTCACTATCGTGTCATACTTACCGGTTTCTGTGATATACAAGTATTCACTACAGTGTCATACTAACAGGCTTCTGTGATATACAAGTGCTCACTACCGTGTCATACTTACCGGTTTCTGTGATATACAACTGTTCACTATCGTGACATACTTACCGGTTTCTGTGATATACAAGTGTTCACTATCGTGTCATACTTACCGGTGTTCACTATCGTGTCATACTTACCGGTTTCTGTGATATACAATTTCTCACGGTCGTGTCATACTTACCGGTTTCTGTGAAATACAAGTGCTCACTACCGTGTCATATTTACTTACCGGTTTCTGTGATATACAAGTTCTCACGGTCGTGTCATACTTACCGGTTTCTGTGATGTACAAGTACTCAGTACCGTGTTAAACTTACCAGTGTCTGTGATATACAAGTGCTCACTACCGTGTCATATTTACTTACCGGTTTCTGTGATATACAAGTACGCACTACCGTGTCATACTTACCGGTTTCCGTGTCATACTTACAGGTTTCTGTGATATACAAGTACTCACTACCGTTTCATACTTACCGGTTTCTGTGATATACAGGTGCTCACTACCGTGTCATATTTACAGGTTTCTGTGATATACAAGTACTCGCTACCGTGTCATACTTACCGGTTTCTGTTATATACAAGTACTCACTACCGTGTCATCCTTACCGGTTTCTGTGATATACAAGTGTCAAGTGCTCACTACCGTGTCATATTTACAGGTTTCTGTGATATACAAGTACTCGCTACCGTGTCATACTTACAGGTTTCTATGATATACAAGTGTTCACTACCGTGTCATACATACAAGTGTTCACTACCGTGTCATACTTAACGGTTTCTGTGATATACAAGAACTCACTACCGTGTCATACTTACCGTTTTCTGTGATATACAAGTGTTCACTACCGTGTCATACTTACCGGTGTTCACTATCGTGTAATACTTACCGGTTTTTGTGATATACAATTTCTCACGCTCGTGTCATACTTACAGGTTTCTGTGAAATACAAGTGCTCACTACCGTGTCATATTTACTTACCGGTTTCTGTGATATACAAGTGTTCACTACCGTGTCATACTTACCGGTTTCTGTGATATACAAGTTCTCACTTCCGTGTCATACTTACCGGTTTCTGTGATATACAGGTGCTCACTACCGTGTCATATTTACAGGTTTCTGCGATATACAAGTGTTCACTACCGTGTCATACTTGCCGGTGTCTGTGATATACAAGTGTTCACTACCGTGTCGTACTTACCGGTTTCTGTGATATACAAGTACTCACTACCGTGTCATCCTTACCGGTTTCTGTGATATACAAGTACTCACTACCGTGTCATACTTACAGGTTTCTGTGATATCACGTGTTCACTACCGTGTCATACTTACCGGTTTCTGTGATATACAAGTACTCACTACCGGGTCATACTTACCGGTTTCTGTGATATACAAGTACTCACTACCGTGTCATACTTACAGGTTTCTGTGATATCATGTGTTCACTACCGTGTCATACTTACCGGTTTCTCTAATAAACAAGTGTTCACTACCGTGTTGTACTTACCGGTTTCTGTGATATACAAGTCCTCACTACCGTGTCATACTTACCGGTTTCTGTGATATACAAGTACTCGCTATCGTGTCATACCTACCGGTTTCTGTGATATACAAGTACTCACTACTGTGTCATACTTACCGGTTTCTGTGATATACAAGTACCCACTACCGTGTCATACTTACCGGTTTCTGTGATATACATTCTGTGATATACAAGTGTTCACTACCGTGTCATACTTACAGGTTTCTGTGGTATACAAGTACTCACTACCGTGTCATACTTACCGGTTTCTCTGATACTTATCGGTTTCTGTGATATACAAGTACTCGCTATCTTGTCATACTTACCGGTTTCTGTGATATACAAGTGCTCACTACCGTTTTATACTTACCGGTTTCTGTGATATACAAGTTCTCACTACCGTGTTATACTTACCGTGTCATACTTACAGGTTTCTGTGATATACAAGTGTTCACTACCGTGTCATACTTACAGGTTTCTGTGATATCACGTGTTCACTACCGTGTCATACTTACCGGTTTCTCGAATAAACAAGTGTTCACTACCGTGTTGTACTTACCGGTTTCTGTGATATACAAGTCCTCACCACCGTGTCATACTTACAGGTTTCTGTGATATACAAGTCCTCACTACCGTGTCATACTTATCGGTTTCTGTGATATACAAGTACTCGCTATCGTGTCATACTTACCGGTTTCTGTGATATACAAGTACTCACTACCGTGTCATACTTACCGGTTTCTCTGATACTTATCGGTTTCTGTGATATACAAGTACTCACGACCATGTCATACTTACTGGTTTCTGTGAAATACAAGTACTCACTACCGTGTCATATCTTTTATGCAGACTGACTTTCACTGTCTAGCAAAGTTTTTGTATCGATCATATGTATTTCGTTAAAGCAAATATTCAAGATCAAGAAATAGTCATATGAACACGAAATGCTTACCTCTTTGTGTGATGTGAAGTCGATGTTTTTTATAATGCCCAATAGAATGCCTTATGGTTTTTCTATCCGATTCTCGATGTGAGTACGTGACAATACCGTTGTTTGACATACATGTACATGACTACTCTCGTCTATGAAGCAGACGACGCTTACTCTTGCTGAACACATGGTCTTATTCTCATTGTACTTTTCCAAAGATCTCCATGTAACTTTCTGACATTCTCTTGCCCTAGGATTAGGGTTAGTTTACAGGATCAAATTATAAAAGTTTTTCAAAGCTTTATTTCAAACAGCTTTGACTGTACACAATGTCCAGGAGTTACCAGAGATTATTTTCGGTAACAGCTTAAATATGAATTTTGTGTACGTGTGTTGACGCTGTGGTATGTTTCCTAATTCACTAGAACCAGTACTGATACTTTTAATATTAAAAACATCTCGAAGCTTAATTTGGGTGAATATATCATTAGGACTTCTAAGGCCAATGTCCCATTACGAGCCATTGTAACATGAGCTGACAGACATTTAAAATGATCGTAGATTGATTTCAACAATTTACTTTCAATCATTAAAAATTGAATTATGTATTACGAATGTCCATGTCATTGCTATAATTACCAATACACTATACTTTATATATGTAGTTTATAAACGGTATTTTAGATAAAGATATTTTAGAGGTCAATAATGAAATGTTGAAATATCAGAATACGAGTCGGCGTAACTAGGCTTATGGGGATAAAATTAGGTATTACAGAATGTCCTTTATGTAAGGTGTTGCCTTTGAAATCAACAAAACCAATCTCAGCCTTTTTATATAAGCTTTTTAAACTCACTAAATATTGTATGTATGAGGAACGGTAGTCTAGTGGTAGGACGCCGGATTCGAGACCGAAGGATTGCGGGTTCGAGTCACGTCACGGCACTGTGTTGTATCCTTGAACAAGATACTTTACTCCGTTTGTTCCAGTCAACTCAGCTGTAAATGAGTACGTGGTTTGGGCAGTGCTGGAATTGTTGAATGCTAGCTGTGAGCGCCGAAATGGCAGCACCGGCTTTTTGCTCCCCAGGGAGTTTAGAACGATATTGGCTGGTTGCAAAGGCCTTCTTATAACCTGGGTTAATAATTTGTGAACCGCCATGAGACGACCTAAGACCTAGGTTATGATAAAGCGGTTTATCCTCGAATTATGATTATAATTTATTATTATTATTGCTTTATGTTAAAATTGTTTTTAAGCGGTCGATATAATAAAGAAAACTATATATGTATATATTTTCCCTCATAAGCGGTGTATAGGTTGTATTAACGTTCCAATGGTTTTACATATCCGCTTACTAATTTAAACAAGGAATATATTATACAACAAAGTCTACAAAATCTATAATCGTAATACATTCTATAAACCTATTCCTAGACAGGTAATAGTTGTGTTTTTAGACTACATTTTATAAACCTAATCATAGACAGGTAATAGTTGTGTTTTTAGACTACATTTTATAAACCTATTCCTAGACAGGTAATAGTTGTGTTTTTAGACTACATTTTATAAACCTAACATAGACAGGTGAAAATTATGTCTTTACGACAACGGCGAGAACGTTTAGTATCATCAACTGGATAATATCATGTACAAAATAAAGTGGCATCTGTCGAAATTGTGAAACATGACGGAGTGGCATTGTTTCAGTATAAACTACGTCTAATAGACAATATACTGTAGACGGCACGAGTAAAACGTTCGATAGTATCAGGGCCGTAACATGACGGTAAGAGAGAGTGTTGTACATGGTGTTGATCGAGCGGGGGTTGCTGGGTTAAAGGGAAGAGGGTTTCTATTGAATGCATAAGTATGTAGTACGCCGTTCTGGTTGACTGGGGGAGTATGTACACATAGTATATACAGTGTGGTGAAGGTAATAGGTGTTCAATACAGCCACAGGCCTACACTCATACAGAGGTGTATATCGGAACTGTCTGTGTACGTAACTTGTGCACTGACGTCTTAAATACCTCGGGATCTTACATACACAGGTAGGTTGTATTGTTTTAACACGCGTTTAACAGATTGTTGATCGCCCTGTAGGTTATCGTTGATTGCTGATAAATACTGATTGACGTTTTAAATGTATTTATAATATGAAATGTCTACTGCTTTGATATAATTTAATTTGGAATCATATTTACCTGTCTGCTGTATTGTTTTTAACGTGAGTATGAGAGATGATAGTTGTTTGCTAACTAAGTAATTTATCACAGATTGTTGTCTGACGTTTAAATGATGATAAAACGATATTTTTGCGGTCTTTAATATATTTCATTTGAGATATCACATTTGCATGTTATCTTGTTTTCAACACGTGTATGGTAGCTGGTCGCTGAGACTGGTATACACAGTATATATCATTGATTACATTATTTTCAACGTCACTGATAATACTATTTGTCTGCTACATTCAATACATGTAATTTGGAATATCAGATACACATAGGATCCGTATTGTTACTAACACGAGTATGTCAGGTGACAGTTGATTGTTAACTATGGTCTGTTACAGTTATATCATAGCATGTAGATACATGGATGTTCCCCAACGATACACATAGGATCCTTATTGTTACTAACACGAGTATGTCAGGTGACAGTTGATTGTTAACTATGGTCTGTTACAGTTATATCATAGCATGTAGATACATAGATGTTCCCCAACGATTGTTGAACTTATCATGTCTATCTAACACGAGCTAGTCAATTATAACATTGAATTAAGACACGAGGTTTACTGAGTGTCATTGTGTACAATTAGAAAATTAACTAACGAGGGTTAAAAACATGATGATCAACCATCAAAGGGATTCGGGACCTTTTTGTCCCACAAGATATTATAATATATTTACATTCTCACTGTTTCTTCTCTACATGAACCTACCAACTCAAAATAGCATGCACTAGATCATGAAAACATGAAAACATCATGAATGACAACCAGTCACGTGTAACGGTCAGCTGATTTTACACACAAACTCCACTTGATATTAATACACCGGGAACTTTTTTTTTCAACCATCAAAAAGGTTAGGGACCTTTTTTCCCACAAGATATTATTAGATATTATCAGATATTATATCTAGGAAAAGCCTACGTTTCTCTTGGGAATACATTATAACTGTTTCCGATCGGAAAAACATTTGCCATGAACTATGACGTCATATTAGAAGATGACGTCACAAATCATTCTTATTTGACGTAATTATTAGAATATTGACCAATAAGATAACGTCCGGGTTGAAACCTACAAGTTAGTAACCAGAATGATAACCAACCCCTAGTAAGTTTATCAAATGAGTTTTGAGTTAGGAAACCAATAACGGTTGTGGGAGAAAGTCTGTTCGACGTTTTAAAATATTGAAAATAAGATATGTATGCTACTTTAAGATAAATTAACTTGGGACCACCTTCATATATACATGTATGTTGAATTGTTTTCAACAAAATCTGGTAATAGATACAGTACGGCAAAACTGAGTTACACTGAATTATACAGCTGTGTCATCGCTCTAGTACTCGACGTTGATGCTAGTTGCCAAATAATTAAACAAACAAAATTGAAACAGGAGAGGAGGTGTGTAAAAAACATTAATTTGACGAATTTCAAAAAATTGAGAAGTATTTGTGAACTTCAAACTAAATAATAGATAATAACAATGAACCGTGCCACTACTCACACAGAATTACTGTGGCTATATAGGTTACGGCAAACCTCGGAGACTTAGGAGTTTGCCAGGAGAGTATATACCACCTTGTATCTTACAAGGTTAACGTAACACTCACGGGTAGTTGAAAAGTTACATTGTCGGTGGAGAGACTTGTTACATACATGTTTTCATTAAAAATGTTCTACGTTTACTCATATAAGTTACATTGTCGATGGAGATGGATACATATGTAAGTTCAATGGCAAGTTTGCTGTGTGAACCTTCGAAAAATCATTAGGACCCATTCATGTATTTTAACGATCAATATCAAGTGACTTTCCCTCATGCTCGACCGTCTTTAATAAGAAACGTCAACGCTAATGAATTGTTATGGTGACATACACAATACATGCCGCATCCATAAATAACTTCAATTTATTATGTTTGAAACATGTAAATATTTGATCGCTTGGTGTAGATTTTTTTATTCCTGAGAGAGGCTTGCCAGTCAACGCAACACAATACACAATACATAATACATGTTGTGGGCCTATTTGGAAACGCAGTATGCTTACCTTGCTTATAGGATTTTGTTGGTATATTGTGTTTTTCCTTTCGATCCTGACCTCGAATTTCAATGGTGAATTTATACATTGAACAATTTCATTGAAGCTAATTATTCAAAGTGTACTGTTAGATGTATAGAGAATATTGATCATATATATAAATATATATATATTATTAAACGAACATTAGTATACAACACATCGACAGTGAAATACGTAGTATGATACTAAGTAATAACACGACTTCAAAACAGGAACTTGAAAACAATCAGTGTGTAGCCAAAAAAGGTAAACATTTCACTTCACCATATATACCACCCTTTCTTCTGTTTATAACTTAAACGTGGTACTAAAGGTCAATAACGGTTAAGGTCAAGTAGATAATTCATGCAGCACGTGAAAAGTACAGTAAATAGGGGAAGGTGCTTATAAAACTCTTTACAAATTTAGGGAGATTAACTACAACCTCTGGCTACACCAGATAGCTATCCTTGAATTAATATTCCACGTATAACTAGTGGGAACATCATTATCGGTAAAACATAGAAACCTGGATTGTTTTATCACTGATTGATATGTTTACTGACCCAAGACCCTAGACCATTTTTCATGTCACGTGCGTTGCGTTTACGTTACGTTTGCGTTGCGTTTGCGTTGCGTTTACGTTGCGTTTACGTTGCGTTTACGTTGCGTTTCCGTTGCGTTTCCGTTAAGTTTGCGTTGCGTTTCCGTTGCGTTTGCGTTGCGTTGCGTTTACGTTGCGTTTCCGTTGCGTTTCCGTTACGTTTGCGTTGCGTTTACGTTGCGTTTACGTTACGTTTCCGTTGCGTTTCCGTTAAGTTTGCGTTGCGTTTCCGTTGCGTTTGCGTTGCGTTGCGTTTACGTTGCGTTTACGTTGCGTTTCCGTTACGTTTGCGTTGCGTTTCCGTTACGTTTGCGTTGCGTTTACGTTGCGTTTCCGTTACGTTTGCGTTTACCTTTAGAGATGTGTTTACTGTTGAATGTGCGTTGAACATGCGTTTAGCTGATTATGTACGAAAGCGATGTTTGCAGTCGCAGGCTATGTACAGGTTAGGTTACGAATATGTTCGTACTATTGAAAGTCCATTAATGTTGAAGACGATTGTAAATCTAATTTCCAATAAGTAAGACATCAAATGTTACAGGCGACAGGATTGCCGAGCGGAATGATTTCAGGTATCGTTTCGGTGAGTATGCGTTGGTCTATACTAGTATATCACAGCCGTCACAAACAGAAGGACTCCGCTGACACGAACAAGTTAATGATCGACACCGAGATTTAAACTCCATTTACAGTCATATTATGTGCGATTTTCACGTAAAACTTCACCAGATTTTCTCACCTAAGGGATTTAAATATTCTGTAGCTGTGATATTGGGTCGTGGTTACCGAGACACTGTTGTCTGGAGACTGGTCAGCTTATAGATTTATAGAACAGTTTATTATAGATACCAGAACTACTATAGGATATTGATATTTACATTCGAAAGTTTTTTTTGATATATACAGTGGCGAAATTGATGAATTGACTTATATCCCTGTATATATTAAGTTTTTTTCCAGTGATGTCACGCTTTATATTTTTATTTATAATGTGTTTGTATAGCTAACAATCTATTATTTCATGATAACTTATTCAAAAAGTGTTGCAGTAGCCGTTTTAGTTGACGAAGAACATATTATTTTTAATTATGGTTATATATTTCACTCATATAATCTTACAGCAAAGGAAGTATAAAGGATAAACACTGACTAACCATGCTTTAGGCTATAAACAAATCTGAAGTGTTTATAGTCAATTACGACCGGAGACAGGCCAACTGTATCAGGTTTTAATGTCAACGACAATTTACAACAGACCACCGGGGCCTACTGTCCTATATAAATATATAGTCTATCTGTCTTAATACACCAAAGGTTTCATCATATCCTGTGGGGGAAAGGAAACGAAGGCATGTAACAGAATGTTTGCTCACCGAAACTTGACCTTTATATGTAATAGTACCTGATTAACAACAAGTTACCAGTCAAATAATACAAAGGGGGTTCCAAAGCGTCAACAAAACAATGATTCGACCTCAAACTCGATAAAAATAGTACGAAATACGAAAAAAGGAAAAGTTTACATAGGGATCATTGGAAAAATTCAAGTAGATTAAGACCATGTGTTTCGGAAGTGAACGCGTCTTCTGCTTCATCGATGACACCCGCCACGTAAATCTAAGTCTAGTCCAAGTTATAGCAAGTCCTCGCATCGATAACTCAGTAGTGATAACAAAACCACAAGGCACTCTTACTAGCATAATCAAAACCATCGAACTTCATATCACACAAAGATATAGCCTATTTCTCTACGAGATCGTGATGGCCACCCAAACCCTATTACATTAAAACCAAGACCTTAAAAAGCAATTTACGAGGTACATGTGTTGATGATAATTTCAACTTCAAAATATGTTTTGTTAATACATAAGTATAACAGAAAACATTACATCCATAAAAACACCGGATAAGCACCAGGATAAGCCTTTATATGTCTTTTCCTGATCTCAAATTATTAATAATAAAACACAAGATCTATAGAGTGCCTTATATCTTTTAAGTATTTTCTTACGATGATTTACAATACAAAATTAAATAAACCCATTGTCGTAAAATTACATATGGCTTGTTGTATTTAACTTCTATCTAGTGGTCACATGTAAGTCTTCGTGTCAATATAAACAAATACAATGTATGTACAAGGAAAA